AACAGTGCATGCTCAAAATGTCAAAGAAAAGTTTAAACATTCAGAATTGAAAGCCTTTTTCTTGTAATGTTAATTTAGATCAGTTGAGTTTCTTAAAATGCTATAGTGCTCAATTTACCTTTTACATGTATATTGACAGACAATTTTATACATATGAAACAAGGGTTGAGAATAAAACATGTCATCTGACAAGGTACATCTGCAATGCCCTTCTAGTTCTAAAGAGAGTCAATATACATATACAATATCAATAGTGGTGGTGGTTATTTTACCTGACAGCTATTAAAGGTAAAGACTAGTATTGGAAACGCCCCAATTTCAAAAAATGAAATGGAAGCTCTCATTACCAATCATGTGAAAGAATATGTTTTGACTAATACATGATGATAAAAAATTTGCCGGGAAACCGCCTACTAATTCATATATTTGGTGAATTTGTTTCTCTCATGGTCTGTGAGAGATATAGGGTAGTCCCATATACATCTTTCTGTGTATAGTGCTTGTAACTTTACGAAGAATGGGCCAAATTTCTTATCATTTTGATGATTCCAGAACCTTGCAGATGCTAGATGCTAGATGATCAACCTTTTCTGATCGATTCCACAACGTTTCTTTCACATAACTGGTCTATACCTTTAAAGAAAGCAATGCTTGTTAGTAAGCAACCAGAAGACCGATGGCTTTAGGTCCTCTCCGAGGGACCTGGTAATGAGGATTAATGCCATACCAAAGGGCACTAAAACGCATCGCCTTGGTTTCGAACCCGGGTCATTGGATTACGAGACCACTGCTCTACCGACTGAGCTATTGCGCCTATCGCGCCTCGAGTCTAAGGAAGATATGCTATTTGTATTACTATACTTACGGTAACCATTCACCTTTCGAACCCTCTATTTCATATAAACTCAGACTCCTGTTTTCCATTGTTTGTTGTCCAGGTACAAAGTTAAACTTGCCCCAGTTTAGTTTTGAGGGCACTTCTATAGATCTATAAAGCGATCATTGAAGAATGCTGCTTTACAAAACCATTTCTATAAAGCGATCATTGTATTACTATACTTACGGTAACCATTCACCTTTCGAACCCTCTATTTCATATAAACTCAGACTCCTGTTTTCCATTGTTTGTTGTCCAGGTACAAAGTTAAACTTGCCCCAGTTTAGTTTTGAGGGCACTTCTATAGATCTATAAAGCGATCATTGAAGCATGCAGTAGTAGGTTAATGTTTTCCTATATATGGATAGGTATGACCTGTATCTGGAAGAAATGGTTTTGTAAAGCAGCATTCTGCACTTGAATGTGCATTTATATTTTCTAATTCTTCATCTCAGGACATGTGTGAGCATGTGTTTGCCGTTTCGATGCAGTATAGTGCTCAGCATGTCGTTTGTGGAATTGAAAATCCATTGGAAAGAAAAAAAGAAAAGAAAATCCTCAAATTGATAATACATGTATTTCATTCGTTCAAGATAAATGTGTAAATTTCCTTCAACTTGCCTAATTGTTGTAATGATACATTACTTATTCAGTTTCGTCTGTTGATACAATAGAGGATTGAATCCATGAAAGAAAGATCTCCATCTGTAAAGAGCGGCATATAACTGAAGAGGTTGAGATGATCTGTTCAGCCAAACAAAACTTCTTTTTGGATATCGTTTATGTACATGTAGTTAATAAATAAAAATGGGCCCAGTAAACTACCCTGGGGAACTCCACAAACCATGAAACCATGATAGAATCCATGAAAGAAACATAGATCTCTGTCTGTAAAGAGCGGCATATAACTGAAGAGGTTGAAATTATCTATTCAGCCAACAATACTTCCTTTCCTTGGCCCGTATCTAAAATAAGTTTTGTTTTTGTATTCCTATACACGAGGGAACTAATAAAAAACAATTACCTGATGCATTTACACAGTATTTACCCGTAATGAATTTTTGATTTTGCATAAATGGTAATGAAAAAAATGAGTTTTACACTCAGTAACAAAAAAAAAAGGGGGGGGGGGAATAAATTTGTGTAATGTATTTACTGTATGTATCTTTTAATATAGCTCTTGGAGGCCCCTCTGCAACAAACCTCGCCCAGCTTTGCTATTGTGTGATCTTACAATAAAAGTAAAAGTAAAAGAACTGAATATAATACCCTAAAGCTTAATCCTTCTACTTCACTTGCACCCAACCCATTATGAAGGCCAACATATACAATAACAGTGCACATCTATCTACATATTTGTTTGGGAACTTGTTGAAAATGGATTTTTTTTTTTATGGATGTTTTTGTAGGCCCCATCTGTAGATATTTCATCCTTGCAGTAATGTACAATTATGAGCCTTTTGGGGGTGATCTATATAGTTTCCCTGAATAGTACAGTGTGTACAATGTAGGGCTATTGTATTATAATATAAATGGCGTCAAAGGGTATCAAAATACTTACTACTCAGTCACGTGTATTCTACCCTGATATTAAGTTAGTTTTTATTGAAACAGAAAAAATGAGAGGAACAGGTCAATGAAAGTTTGAGCAAAATCTGATAAGAAGGTTATGAATTTGGAAAGTTGTCATCACATAAAATACAGATTGGTAACAATGTGATGTATTTGAGGTTGATTCCACATGTATTCCAGCTGTACATGTTTATTTGCTAAAGGTGATTTATACCCTTTAAGCCACTTCCTGTCAAAGAATGTAATCTGTTTGGATTACGGAGAGAGTAAACTCATCATTCCAACAAATATGATTATATGATAATTCATTTCCTGTGGATATGCTTTAGGGTATGCATGTAAATTTTGAATTATGAGTAAATATTTCTTATCTAGGCATATCCATGATTAATTAGGTTTGACCTCATAATCAGAAACATACTCATACATGTATACACATTTTGTGATTCCCTTTGCAATACAAATGTCAAGTCTTATGAGACAGATTATTGATAGTGCCCACGTTAATACACTGTAACACTTTGTTTTTAGGGCATAGATTTTTAAGGGGGAAGGGAAATATAAAATACAAATTATTTGTGGATGTAAGGAAAATGTCATCAATACTCGATGACATCAATACTTGATGACGTATTTCCTAAAATCAACCTCATATTTCCTTTTTGGACAATCCCATGTGTTATCAAAATCACCTACAGTGTACATGTAGCCTATTTGTATCTAGGCATAGTCAGGTGACATACTTGCTGTCACCTGACAAACAAAAGATCATCATATTATTCATGTAGAAGACTCAAACATAAATCAAATACACATTGGATAACAAAAAATGAAAAAGAAAAATGTAACAATTCTTGAGAAAAATGACATTTTTGTTTCAGTATATCAAAATATGTTTCACTGCTCTTTGTGAGATGAGATTTGAAGCCTACAAAATTAAGATACATTTAGAAGTTAAATCAAGTTGTTCAATTTTTGGTGCAGATTTTTCTCCAATTTTGAAAATGACCATGTAATGAAGTGTAAATTGCTAGAATTTAACTCTATAACTTGTATAAATGCACTTAACATATTTCAATAAAGTTTTTAACGGATACATTTACAATTTTAAATGTACAGTAGGTAAATGAAGACAATGCCATGACGTTAAAGAAGTACCTGCACCAACAATATGATCATTATCCTTGATCTTTTATGATATTGACAGAGGAAGCATTAGTTGTTCAGGAAGTTATTTGAAAGTCGACACCCGGGCATGATATCAAGAACAATAGGCACTTTGAACATGACAGTATTTGAAGAGCAGTCCTTTTTCAGGGGACATTTCTCTTGTCATTGGCTTCTAAACTTTGATACATACATGTAAATATGTAAAGCTGACAGGGTGTGTGGAATCTTGTAAATGTACATGTTTTTTGAAGATAATAATAATAATAAATTATATAATTATAAATTATATTTCTATAGCGCATTATACAAGGTATGTCTCTATGCGCTTTACATTGATAATAATCATGTTCTGTTTTCAAGTCAACATTGCACAGGAAAATTGTGAAACATTTTGCAAATTAACGTTCTAAAAGAGTGCTCTTGACTTACCCCTCTGGGCTACCTTCTAGTTGCTCATGCGTGGGTATATAGAGGGCAGCACACTGAGCCAACGGGTATTACGCTCCCTCACGTACTAGTGTCTCTTTATGCATACGTCCGTACAGGAGTGTAATACCGTTGGCTCAGTGTTCGCCAAGTTACCATTATGAATCACTACATGTACATGTCCAAGCATGTACATCTTTAACATGAAGTGAATGTTATTTCCACTTATTTGAAGAAATAACCCTTCTATATTTTTGAGGCCTAATATTGAAATAATATTTTTTTTGTTTAGTTTAGCGGTTGGTTCAGATTCACGAAAATCTCATGCTGTGAAATTAATGAATGAATTGTAACTGACACAACACTGAATTCTTTGGCCTCCACCCTCTTGAAGGTCCCAGGGCCCTATTTGTAGATTAAACAAATTTTCATACCACGAAAATCACTTCTGTTTACAAATAATTAGGTTTGATGTCGCAAAAGTGTCTGGTTTACATTGTTGTACATGTAGCTACATTTTGTACATTGTCCTAGGCAGAGTTGGACACTTTTGAAAATTTATATTACCCATCGACCATGTTGACTGTGTTTACATTTCTGGTTACCTACATTACCTATGAAGGTCCCAATTTGGTTGCCGTAAACTAGTCACGAAGATGCATCTTTATGATGATTTCATTTGTATTCTCTTCCTTGTACCGGTAATTGTAATTTGTTCTCTTGTCCTGTGAGGATATTGAGTCCTGCAGAAAGAGGACCTGTGAAAGTGAGTGCCTGTAAGAATGGAGTGTATGGTATCTGAGACTGTGTAATCGCTAATCAAAAAGTTTTTTTCAATTGTACAGGTAATTTTTTTAGTGGGGGAGGGAACACTTGTCCAAGACATCTTTTTAAGACTGATACCATTACCAACTAAATTTTCCCTTTTATTCTCCCAATCTTCCATTTTTCTCAGTGATAAATGCCCAGCTTCCGGAACCCAACGTGGAAGAGGGAAGCTCTGCATATTTCTACTGCAACGGGCCAGCTGACACTCGATGGTACAGAAAGCAGCAGGACAACACTGACAGAGAGATCGTAACTTCAGACAGATTCGAAGTTTCGCATATTATATCTGAGGGTGTCACGTATGCCAACATGACAATCATGGATGTAGTCAAGAACGATTCAGGCGTCTACGTCTGCAAAGATACTAACGGAAATTCCTTTGATGTTAATTTGATGGTCTATGAAGGTATGGCATGAAGAGACATCTTGGAGCTCTGATGATCTCACTTTTAATTGATCTATTAAACACTCTAAAGATGGTTATGGCCAAGCTTCAGAAGTGAAGAAAATATATCTTTATCAAATGGAAAGAATCAATTGGAATAGACAGGATTAAGTAATTTAACAGTGAAAGTCTGAAATCACTGTAGAGATGATATATTGAAATAAAAATAATAATGATAGCAACATGCATCCATGTTTAAAAAAAAACGGAACAGTGAATAAGAGTTTCATACTACCACAACTTCATGAATTTAACATTCACCTCTGAAGTTTGTATACTGATCCATTCAAATCCAACCTTAGGTCTAGGTCTAAGGTCATTTTTAACAAAGGAAAACTTTAATAGACCTCAGACTTACTTCCTTGACTAACTTCCTTTTGCTAAACCCAATTTTGAACAGAAGCTTAAGCCCAGCATTGGGTTTAAAGTTTAGTAGAATAGGCCTGAGAGAACATTCACACAGTAGATCTTCAGACTTGAATGTAAACTTTGGTTCTGGTAATGAAACGAGATGCCTGTTTTGAGCGAAACTAAAACAAATCATGAACCCTTGATTGTTATTGAAAACGTAAATCCCTGTTACATTAACTCTTTGCCTGCTTTTTTTAGACCAATGGAACAATAGATTCCCATTGTTGACTTTTGTCACACAAAATGTCACATATAGTAAGAATAGTATAGTAAGTGTGATTTAAGCACTTAATTGTCAAAAGGTGCAAGATTCCAGCAAAATATCCAAGTACTTTGAAATGTTATTTATTATTTATCTGACACATTGCTTTTATATCCACAGTGAGGGATGTTGTGATCAGTCCTGCTGAGCCTGAATTCATAGAGGGCAGCAATCTGCTCTTGAACTGCACCGTGGACGGCACCACGGACCAGACCGTCGCCTGGAGCGTGAAAAAGGCTGAAACCGCAGAGCCACTGCTGGAGGGGGATGATGCCAGCCATGTCCAAGTCTTCAATAACGGGTCTCTCATCATCCGTGTCCTGACGCCAGCTGATGCTGGAGTCTACATCTGCACTCATGAGTTTGACGAGGCTTCCAAGTCTGCTATGGTCAACGTAGGAGGTTAGATGGTGTTTATTTATTTATTTATTTATTCATGTTTTCTTTATAAAACAGGGTGGTCCCATTCAAGCCGCAAGGCCTGCTTTACAAGGAAGCCCTGCTGTTACAAACAAATTACATTTCAAATATCTTACAAATGAATACACATAAAAATACACAAAATATACAATAAAAAACAAAACATAATATAAACAAACTATTAAACATTTCATACAAATATATAGGAAATTAGAGAGGGTGGTAGGAATACTTCATGATCGCAAAATCAACTCACTTGAATTTCACAGACATTTCGTTTAAAAATGGGTAGTGAGGTGGAACATTTGGTAAGTATGGGTCATAATGTCGTCAAGCCATGATGCTCCTGGCACTCCAACATTATTTTAATGTCTTTTAGGCTAGATCGCCCTCACAGCCACAAAACTTGTCAGGTACTCAGAAGGTGGCCGTGCCTTGATCGAGTGCAAAGCCCACGTCACCATAACTCTGCAGCTGCCAGTTAAAATTACCAATTATGTTGGTTGGTTGGTTGTAATTAATCACACACTTTCACAGTATTTTCAGTTCAGTTTACAATCGACAGGAAACAGGTCCTCAAAAGTTTCATTCATGCTGAGCAAAAAGCTGACATTTGCCGGGTTTTAGAGAGAGGGCGCCCTCGTTGTGTCCATGTAGGGCATGACTAACAATATTTCTGAATGCATTTTAGGAGAGATCACCCTTACATCCGAAAAGTCAGTCAAGTACACGGAAGGCGACCGTGCCATGATCGAGTGCGAAGCCCACGTCATCACCACCGCTCTGCTGCCCTCGTTCAGCTGGAAGATCAACGGAATGGACCTGGAGGATGCCTGCCCTGAGCGCTGCACCATCAAGAACACGTCCACCACCCACACCGTCATCAGCAAGCTGGAGATCGTCGACATCACCATGGAGGACAGGAAGAACTACACCTGCACAGCTACCAACGCAGCCCACCCAGAGGGTGTATCAAAGGACATCCTTCTCAGGGTCCGAGGTATGTCCAGTTGCAAAGAGGAAAAATTATCTCTGTAGATTGACCGGAATGGACTGTCAAAAATTGATTCGAGCTATATTCTGATGAATGGCAGTGCAGATGATAAATTATTTGTATTTCATGGAATTAAAGATTTGATACTGGCTCGTGAAATATTTATAATCCTTGTTAATGTACATTCTGAGTTTGGAAAGATATCCTACTGAGAGTCTGAGGTACATTGTGTCATAAACGGAAGAAAGATCCTTCCAAATTGACCACTTCATTGAAACGATGCATATGTCATTTGAGATATTCATTAAATGTGGGGGTGGTTATTTTACCTGACTGCTAAGAAAGCATAAATGCTTGTAAGTAAGCAACCAGACGGTCGAGGGCTTTAGGTCCTCTCCGAGGGACCTAGTAATGAGGATTAATGCCTTACCAAAGGTCACCGGATTACGAGACCACTGCTCTACCGACTGAGCTATCGCACCTCCTCAAATGAGCTCATGAAATCCAGTTCATTGTGGATAATCTTTAAAGTACCTTTGGAATCACTCTCTTATTGCTTTCATAACTTGTTGTCTTGTGACTTTTTTTCAGATCGTCTGGCTGCTCTGTGGCCTTTCCTTGGCATCGTGACCGAGGTAGTCATCCTGATCGTCATCATCTTCATCCATGAGAAGTGCAGCAAGGGAGAGGACTACGGCGAAGACGACGAAGACGACGATGAACCCAAGTAAGATACCTTCTTTATTTCATGTGGGGTTTCTTTAAAGGATGTTTCATTGGAGGTGTCTTGGTATAGTGGTACATGCAGTCAAACCTGCTATAGTGACCAACTGTCTACAAAGCCCACATATTTTGTTTCCCTTGGAAATGGTTTCTAATTGAAACATGTACTAAAGGAACCTGTCTACAAGGACCTTCTGTCTACAAAGACCAGTTTTTTTGTTGTTTCCCTTGGACCAGGGTAATAATATTGGAGTGCCATGAGCATCATGGCTTGACGATATGTGGGCTATACTACGTATAAGTGCTTTCAAAACTCTTATCTAATCCCTAGATTCAATTATAATTTCATCCTACAAACATTTCTTTGAAGAAGATACTTCCCTAACTTACTCATGTGGGCATTGCACAGTACTCATACCAATGCTTACCAAACTCGAACATGTATTCTCTTTGAGTTAAGAAATGAAAGTAGGGTCAACTTGTTATCACATGTGCAAAGGATTTCATTTTCGGTTAATGTGCATCTTATGCTTTCTGTCATATCGATTGATATCTTGTTTATTATTTCATCTTATCGTATCTTGATTCAATCATTTCAGAAAAGAGAAGAAAAAGATCGATGACGGAGACAGCGACATGAGGATGCGTTCCTCCAAAGAGTGACAGAACGTCCACCAGCGAAGGACCGCCTGGGAACAGACGGACCCTAGTCCCCCTCAGTAACCATTTGAACCTCCGACCTTCTATTTGGAGTACAGATGGAGCAATCCATTGCTTCTCATTTATCAAATTTTGTTTCACTTAACATCATATGTCCATTTAAAGCCCCTCTGCACTAGTTTGGCCGGGAGGTATTAGACCTCCCTGCATGGTCACTGACAGGTGGTTATCTCATTAAATCAGCTCTCAATTAGCATTAAAAAAGGGGACCATGGGGAACTAATGGTCACCTATTAGGCATTGTTTGCTATATAGAGGGCGCAAGTAGCTATAAATAGTGCAGTGGGGCTTTAAGATGGAATTTTGCACCATGCTAAAACTTTTCATACCCTATACATTAATGGTCTTATGCTATTTCCACGAGGTTGTCTTAGTATTTATTACAAATGTTTTGCTAGTTTATATTTTGATATTTGAAATAAATGCTGTCTAAGTGATGTTAAAAGAAAAAGACATTTCAGACAGAGGTTATACATTAATATTTCAGATCTTTGAATTTTTCAATTTTTACTTTAATATAGGTGTACCTTTTTTAAATCTACTTGATTCCATTAATACCATTTTGTTTACTTTTTTCTTTGTTACTTTTGATCGGTGCATTTACCATGGGAAAAAGATGGATGTCGTTTAATATTCTTTTCTTTTTCGGTTGGAGGGTCATGATCTCATCCAAACTTTTTTTCTGTAGCAATGTTTGTCAACTGTTGGGTGCGATGAAAAAAAGAACATCTTTATCTGCATTACCTCTCTCCACCCAGGGGTAGAAACATTGTTACAGGTCAACTATGTTCATCTTTATCCTTATCTTCATCGACAACATTGAATGTTTAGCTGGATTATTAAAAAACTTTAACTTTAAATTGTTTATTTTTTATTGAATACACCCTGATAAATCACCCTTGGGAAAAGAAGCGTATTTGCTTATCATCGTAAAATTAACGCTTTGCAGTCTTTGAAACAATGCTTATTTATGTGATATTTTGAAATTGATTTGGTGAGGAAAACTGATGGCTCAAGTAGTTATACCCTTGTTATAGATAATGGATTATATTAACTCTTTGTACCTCACATGGACACGTAGAGTACGTAACCCTTTTTTTTGGTAGTTGTTGGTTTTGTTATTGTGGGCATTCGCAGCGAATATAGACTAAACAAATTATTATTATTTTACAAGAGGTGCAATGAGCAGAAATATATGTTGAGTGTTTTAAATGTCAATTAGGAACTGCTTTTAAGTTTGATGATGAGTGAAGAGTTTAAATGTAAAATCAACAAAATCAGAGCAATACACTCATACTGTTATTTGGTGTTGTAGAATCGAGTGATTTTACACTTTCTATGCTAGATGTGTAGTAAATGACTGTGTACGTGTATTTCTTTTGCCTCATGTACATTCGTAAAACCAACGTGTTGTGAAAAATTGCCGCTGTACATTGGTGTGAAATATTTTCGTCTAAAATTGTCTGGAAGTCATCAAGGATATATTCTGAAATGACATTTTTCTTATTTAATGTGACTTTTTTTTATTGCAATGTCATAGGACTGTTGGTAATTATCACTTTATAAATGCATGAAATTAGTTTGTAGAAGGTATGATTCATAAAAACTAACACAATTTATTTCAGTGGCTATTGTAATAAAAATTGATACACCTTCATTAATATAAGGAGCTTTGTGTATGTAGCTCTCATTTCTTTCTGTAAGTACAATTCTATTTCTGTTTTTTTCTTAAAGTTTGTGAGAATGCACAGTTCGTCGCACTTGTATATTACACAATTTTTAAAATAGCGATATGATCTAATTATTGCATCATTCAAATGCTAAGAGAAGGTCTTATGTTATTAGGATGCATATACATTGTATAACACATGATTGTAAAAGAATTACAGTGACATCTTAGTAATATTTGATTTTTCTGAATTTACATTTTTGGAAATCACATCTCATTGGGAATCATGGATCTCTTCCAAGTTGTCGTTTGCACTGGAGTGTTTTTGTGCACTGATTGCCAATTTCCTGCAAGTTTATGCTTTTCAGTGTTTTTATTTGTTCCTTTGTATTTACTGCCAGAAGTTTGCATGTTGGAATAAGCAATCAGGGGAATTTTTGAATGAGTTCTTTTAAAAGTTCCATTAGCTTAATGTCGGGTGGTTTGTGAACAATTTTATACCCAGGTATGCGTTGTGTGTGTGTGTGTGTGTACGTGCTATGAGTATATGAGTGGCTGCCGGATGATTTTGTTGTCAAAGCGCAATTATTGATATTAAAGATGTTCATGCATGGATATATAGTCGTTCGTGAAGTAGGCAACTTGGTGATCACTACAGAGCACTGAGCCAACAGGTATTACGTCCGTGTGCTGCCCTCTATATACCCACGCATGAGCAACTTTAACATGTAGACATGTAGAGGTTGTGTGTAATGTCAAGAAAATATATGGTATGTTAAATGATCTTTTTTCTAACAGTATCAACATTAGGTTTGAATAGTGGTGAAAAGTTAGCTATATATATATCATGTATTATGGTGACCAGCACTTGATTTATGTGTAACTTATACAAATGTGGAGAGATTGCCTATTATTAACTCATATTTGTGTGTGGAAATTTTATTAGTCTTCATGCCCAATTCATACAAATATGTAGATTGATATAAAGTTAGGTTTTGTTTTGTTTCTCTTTAGATATTGTTTTATTCTTGGGGAAATCGCCAACCCACCAATATATAGACTGTAGTAATTACAAGTGTCCAAAAAAGAAAGATTTTGACAAGTGAGCGACTTGAAGATTGGCTCACACTCTGCTTTTGCTAATTAAGAGGCCTGACAGCATAAAAATGTGACAAAAGAGATGAAAACATGATATTTTTTTCGAGGTGTATTAATTCTGACCGGCATTAGCACTGTCTATAAAGGCCATTAGACCTTCTGGCCTTTCTGCAGAGGTCGTTCTGTTGATCTTTGGGTCAAACGAAAATTGCTATTGCTTTGACAGAAGTATGTGATTTTTATGTCTTTATCCCTTGTGACAAAAATGAAATCGATTAAAGACTGCTGTGTTATATTAAGCCAACACACCTGTATATTGAACCACTGTGTTATATACAACTTGCATATTTATCTCACTTAAAACTAACTCTGTAAGGTTCACACTTAATAACTTAATAACTTAATTAGATTAAGGAAAAATAACGGAATATTCTAGATAGAACTGTTTGTATATGTCTCATGAGTATTGTTATATATTGATAGGAAAGAATGATAATGCATTTCCATATACTCTATTGGAGTTGGTTTAGAAATTATTGTCATAAATGATATAAATATAATAAATATATATATGTATTCTAGATTAGCTGGTGGAGGGCGTAGATAATTCTCGATGGAGAGATTTCACCGATATGGTGCGTTCAATAACCAGGACCCTAAACAATCAGATCCTAACGCTGATTTAGACTTTACTCCTAAAACCCCTCTGCACCACAAAGTTCTGGGCCGTGTTTCATAAAACTTGTTATCAATAACAAATTATAATAAATGAGCTAGTGAAATTGTAGCATTTCCGTTGCAATAGAAATTTAGCATTTGATCTTGATACCAAGTTTTATGAAACGGGGGCCCAGAACTTTTTTGGCACAGAGGGGGATTTGGAGTAAAGTCTAAATCACCATTAGGATGTGATTGTTTAGCTGCTGGCTAATAGTACCTTTGTTAGACTATGAAAGGAAAGATGCAGGGTCTGAACTGTAATAGCTGTAGACTACACATGACTTAAATCTGACTCGATTGTCATTCTTCAATGAAAATCTTATCACAAGGTACAGTCTGTCTAGTCAAGGTTATATTTTAAGAAGAATGATGACATCACAATGTAAGCTATGACATCACAATGTAAGCTATGACATCACAATGTATCCCAAAGCAATGATAATGTCTACAGAGAAGGCAACATTTGTTGGTAGTAAGAAGGGCGTTGATGTTATCTAAAAATGATGCAAGTTAACGCCCTTCTGGCTCTCAACAGACGATTGGATCCATGCATGATAAAGGTGTCATTAGTTCGTTCAAAAAGCTCAAATGATTATCACCCTAAAATTCGAATAAGATTGAAAAAACATAAATGAATTATGATGAACCATGATCAACTGGCTTTCATGATTAAATAATACAATAAATGAAAATAGAGCTTTTGCCATTTAAAATGTGATGACTGTGTCAGGGTGTCATTCAACAATATTGAAATATTTCAAACTTTTATGATTAGATTCAGGTGAAGTTATTCCCTTTCTTGCTTTGAATGTATGACTTTGGGTTATATTAACACATGTGATTGTATGGTTGTTCAATAAAGACTTGGGTGTGTAATTATTGAAAACAAACATAATAGAGTTTGCCTGGAATCGTTAATGATGTCATGTTCTATTACTCTTTTATTTTATTTTCAATCGATACAAAGTGTTAATATATTGCTTTGTAATCAGATTCCAGCTTTCATCAACATAATATTATCTCCATGCTGTCTTCATGTTATCGGTATACAATTCACTCCCAAAAAATTTGCTTCAAGATTTCCCTGTATCGAACATTGTAATGGGATTCTCACTGTCTCACTCTCTCTCTCTCTCTCTCTCTCTCTCTCTCCTTCCCTCCCTTTCTCACTCTCTATCTCTTGATTTTCCACTCTTTGCTCTTTGTCCTCTTTATCTCCTTCACGCCTCACTTTCCATCTGTGTTTTCCACCGCACCCTCTCTCCCTCCCCATATATCACTCTTTCCTTCTCTCCTTCCCTCTCTCTATCCCTCACTGACTCTTACTTTAGTTAGGAACCCTTGTCATTCCAATACAATAGTCTTACTATTCATACAAAATCATAAATATGTATTTATTGCATTCTTTACAATATAAAATACACTTTGCTATAGATATGTTAAACTTTTGACACTAGCCTCAAAAAGCAGAAGTTCTATATTTTATTTGCTCGAAAGAACTATCCTGCCCTTTATATTCTCAGAAAGAAACTATGGAGACAACTCCAAGAGTGAATAAATATTCGTCGGTATTTCATTTCTTATATCTTTCAAATCACGCACTGCATAAGAGAAGGGAAACAGAATACAGTTACAAGAAAGAAAAGGTCATTATCGATTTACTTATAGACCCCGACAGTCACAAAATGAATTATTTTTTCAGACAGATGGAGTCGGATTATCTCATCGAATAAAACTCTAGTATGAGAAAAGAAGAACGTCTTCCATTAAAGCACTTTCCCTAAAAGCAGGGCGGCAAGCCCTTTTCAGGATTTGGATAAGATGGCAGTGTTCGGGGAGGTGGCAGTGTTCGGGAGGCTGGGGAAAGGGGGGGGGATCCGGATTTCGCCCATTTTTCTCCAAAATTTATCCAGCATTCACGTACCATTCATTATTCAAAACTTTCTGGGGGTGTTTAAAGTGGTAACTTTTCCTTAATTGGAAGACAAAAAGAAGAGTTTTTTTCATGTCTTTCAACATCCAATAATTATCGCCCACGGCGTTCCGTACCTTAGTCTTATACAAACATGTTCACTGCCATTATCATGATCCTTCAGCACAATCGCAAAGACCTTCATGAAATCAACTTGGGCGCAAGTGCTATACACCGTTGTATTTCCTCTAGATAATATTATGATTGCATTATCGTCAGGCTGGGAAAATCATTGCCGAAGCCATCTTTTGTCAGTTGAGATTTTTACCCAATTCGTTTTTGTTGTTGATAAGAGCCATCTATTCATAGTTATTGAAGTCATTAAGCCAATATTTTCAATCTTAAACTGTATATTATTCCTAAATCAAATGAAAAAAAAATGAAAAAAATATCTCTTTTTGTCAGTATTAAAACGATTTAGGCAATTGTTTTATAAATGTGACGTTAAATGATATTTCATGTTCGCACAATTAAGTAGATGTCGCACAACGCTATGGATTAATGACATTGCCTTAGCTTTCTTTCTTCAAATTACCCAAAGAAAAATATGCAAACATGTTCATCCTGATTTTTCTTAATTCAGATAACATAGACTATAGAATACATTTAGACAGGTAGAAAACTTGTAAATGAGATGGATGGATGAATTGATGAGGGCAATAACAAGCGGAGAGATAAATAATAAAGAGAGATGTTGATGAACGCATTGGCATAAAGCCTTACAATACAAAAAAAATGAAAAGAGAAAGAAAAATAAAATATGAAAAGAGATTGGCAGAAAAGCCAAGAGAAAGAGAGAGAGAGAGAGGGATACAAATAAGAAAGGGTGAAAGAGAGTGACCGAAAGAAATATATATACACTGTGTACAGTATAGAGAAAGATAAATAGAAGGATAGGTAGATAGATCGATTGTGTGGGTGGGAGAGAAAGAGAGAGAGATAGAGAGAGAGAGAGAGAGGGGGGGCGGTGAGACACATAGGAAAGGGTTAAAGAGAGAGCTAAGAGCGAAAGCGAAATATATAGACTAGATAAAGAGATAGATAGATAGATAGATTGATTGATTGATGGGGAGAGAGAGAGAGTGAGAAAGAAAGAAAGAAAGAAACGACAACAAATAAATGATTTTCTAGAAAGTAGCAAACTTTCATCTCGTTTCCATAAAGATTGTTACATTTCATATATTGCACTTTGGTTTTATAAAAGCTGTGCAGATTTAAAGCTTTGTTGCGTGTGAAAAAGACAAATGTCAAATAGTTGGTGATTTGACACAACATTGGACAACTTCAATATCTTTCCAGCATCAATAGTATCATTCTAGATAAATTTACAAAAATATTTCTCCATTTCTTTGCATATATCAAACCTTCCCCCTCCTTCCATACATTCAATATTTTGAAAAGACTTCTGTAGTTCAATCGATTACTGTTCTAATCACGTTTCATTCCTTTTCGGCATCAGATACAAAGCGCAGCAGACAAAGACCAATAATTTAATCGATCCTTTCATTTACTTCGTAAGAAAGCGCGAAAAATATAGCCTGGATAATGGACAAGATATTACTACCGGCTGCTATCACATTGTTTTCAGTACTTCCTCAATAAAAGAAATTCCAAATTATGCTTTCTTATTTGCTGGACTGATCTACAAATTCAATACATTCTTAACAATCAGGTACAAAAACTAATATCTGCATTGCGTAAGTATTGAATCACTGGAAATTGTAAGCGTCCATCATTGTCTGTTTCAAGTCGTCAAAGTTCGGTTGTTTGTTGTTGGAATTTCCTCCGTTTTCCGCTAGACGATTTACGGGCTTGGACTTCGTTTTCCATCCTGAGGTCGGATAAACTCCCATCCATGATGGCGATGACGTTTTCATGCGAACCACGCTCGACGTCGACTCGGGTCCTGATGTGTACATCGTCCGTGTCGTCGCCAAAGAACCGGTTCTTTTCGATGTCGCTGTGTAACAATCAGAAGATAAAGAACAAAAGTTAGTATGAGAGAAATAGTATTTGGAATTTGTCCAATCGACATGCTGTGCATTAGTCTTGAATGTGTCAATTATTGGAAATATCCAAAATATATTACTCAAAATCTCAGTAAAAACGAAAGTTGCGACGAAAAATATCTACATCAATTTTTAGAAATATTTACCAGCATGTCTTCTACCGATGTGATTGTAAACACTGATAAAGGCACCATGGCCATAATAGTGTGGATACACTGTGTTTACATTGTTACCACACCAGGCGCGGATCCAGGATTTCTTAGGGGAGGGGGCCCAACTTTTTTTTTTTGCTCCCCCGGGCCCCCCCCCCCCCCCCTGGATCCGCCACTGTACCACACTGTGTTATGATGTGATACACTGTGACCACAAAGAGAAACATAATGTGCACGGGCCACAATGGATCACATGGAGCTGCGCAGTTTGGACAGTGTTAAGAAAACGTAATTTCCACACTGTATACACTTTGACACACAGAGGTGCCAGAGATAATTACGTACTACTGTATATTCACCACAGTGTGGGTCATAGTGGATTAGATACATATTCGTAGTACATATCAACAATTGAAACACACAGACTTAACACCATTTCACACTGAATTCGCACTGTGCATGGCATATAATGTTACACGCGGATTTCTCTCTGTGGCCACAGGGATAATCCGAGTATTGTGGTGAAAATGTGAACACACCGTGTCCACACTGGTTATGTACATTGTACAGCACTCTATATAGGACACTATTCTTTCTTGTCGGGAGGGTAAATATTATAGAAAAAAAAAACAGCATTGGAAGCATTAGTAAAAAAAAAATACAATCACAATGTACCTTTGGAACAGTCTCACACGCCGAAGGTGTTTGGACTGTTTTGAAGGTACCGAGTGTGGATAATACTAATGCCCGAACAAAATGATGTGTATTATTTGTTTTATAAGATTATGTTTTATTTGTTTTCAAAATTGATGTTTTGTAACATGATTTTGATAATGACCGGTCATTACCATTGGATAATGACCGGTCATTATCCAAATTACGCGTTAGGCAAAATAAATGCCTGGTCACGTGTACGCTTTCAACCAATCATTTTGATTAGGATCAACGTCATCATCTTATAATGTCATATACTTACGTGACGAAAGACGGTGTGTCAGGGGGGATCGGAAAGAGAGGGGCAGTGTCCCTGATCGTCGGGCTCTCTAGGCGGGATTTCAGCTTGCTCGATTCCTTCCCGATTCGGGTCAGACGACGAACGGCTATCTCTTCCATCGTTTTCCTCATGGCGGGAAACTCGTCGAGCACTTGGTTGAAATGCTGGACGGAGAGCGAGAAGAGCGTGCAGTAGGTCTCGCACTTCACCGATGCCACACGGCGCTCCCGGGTGAGCAGGCAGATTTCTGTTGGCGCCAAAGAATGAAAGAGGAGGGAATTTTGATAACCTTGTGACTTGCAAACAGAAGAAGAAAACAAAAGGTTTACATCGATTCTTCTATCTTCAGAGCAACCACTCCTTCCTTGCCTACAAAATAATCTACAAATTTCGTAATGATGTGCAATCGGTTCCATATTCATAACTAGTTACTCATAACTTACTCATAACTTAATCATCATTACGGTTAAAATTCTGTTACACACAATTTTCTTTGCATCAAAATACCATTTGGCGAAGTATTAAAAAAAACTTCGAGACACGTGTTTCGAGAGATAAAGCATTTTGATAAGGCATTTCGTCACACTGCTCTTCGTGAATTTAATACAGTCAAACCATGTCTACAGCGACCGCCCAAAGGAAACACAAAAAGTGGTCTTTGAAGACAGGTTCCTTTACTACATGTTTCAACGATAAACCATTTTCAAGGGAAACAAAAAAATGTGCTTGTTGTAAACAGGTGGTCTTTGTAGACAGGTGGTCACTAAAGCAGGTTTGACTGTATAATGAAAATGTTCAGAAGATGCTTTACGTTAAAAAGGAAAAAAGGAAATGCACCTTAATGTAAACTTCTTTTTTTTTGAAAAAGTTTTATATGCCATACTCTTACCGCCAAAATATGAGCCGTCACTGAGTGACGTGGCGATGACGCCGTCGGACATGATGATGTCGACGATGCCCTGCTGGATGAAGAACATGCGATCACCGAAAGTACCTTCCTGTATAACAAAGTCAGCGGGTTGGAAGACCTCGAATTCGAGCAGCGTCACCACACGGGTGACGAAGTTTGAGTCGGCACCGACGAAGAAAGGGACGGATGCGACCAGGTCGCGACAATTGTAGTTTGCGACATCCTAAGGAGAGGATGAGAAGACATTGTAGTGCAAATTTTTTTAGAAAAGAAAAATTGTGTACTAATTTCAGCATTTAGTCGCTAGATTTTACCAAGTGTGAGAGATATGAAGCAGCAGTAGTTTGCGATTTCCTATACCTCGGAGAAAAAAAAAGTGAGATTAAACCTCACTTTTAAAATATATAGTGTACTTAAAATACAGTAGATAATGAATCTAACAGATAAATAGAATGGGATTTAGAAAGGTGATGGATAAGAAAAAGTCTTTAGGAAGGACGGGTACAGTATAGTAATAAGAAAAAACAGGAAGGGACCAGATTAAATAAAAGGAGAAAGAGGAAATTGACAGAAGAACAGAGACAAAATAATGAGAGAAAAAAGAAAGATTATTAAATTAAAAAAGTGGGATCAAATCTTAAAAGAATTGATCAGGGGCCTAGACACTAAAGTAAGCAAACAAGAAGCAAATATAAATGGAGTTAGAGGTTGTACTGTATAGACATTTCATTGAGGGGCCAAGACGGGTCATCCATCTTAAGATTGGTCTTACAACTTTAAGACAACTTTGGTGAAAACACGTCCCATTCAGATAGTTTATTCCAGGTATAACGCGCTTGAAAACCATGACCGAAAGCGTTTAATATTACAGCACTCGCGGCATGATGCGCTATCAAAAAGGGGTCAGCGTTTTACTCAACCAACCAGCAGCCGACATAAATCTTACATCGGTTTCCATGAATTGTTGAAGACAAAAAGTACACTATACTTTTCGCTGCACCACCAAGCAGAAACTTGTAGTCCCTTTGCTTCTACTTAACGATGATTTATGTATGACACAGGGAGCAGCATAATGAACTAAAAGTCATCTACCTGCTTCACTAACTAAACTGAAAAAGTCCATCTATTCCCGACAAAGGACAGCTAAACCAAATTTTTCTGAAAAAGTTCGGACCCGAACTTTCATATCCGAATTCTACCTACGCAATCACTCTAGTTTAACTTGTTACATTTGATTTTTTTTCAGCGTTTGATTTCAATGAAGTGTGCTAGCTCTGATGGCGGCCATTTTAAAAGGTGTTCACCACGGCCCTTTATAGAACTGAACGGAATCTAAAATGTCTGCACATCCAAATTTGTTTATCATACATAATTATGTTTCAAGTTTGGTAATGTTATCAATACTGCACATTCGATCGACCATGCCGCTTCACTAATGGATAAAGTAGCATGTTTATCATATTGTTTGCATATTGAGATGGTATCATTATTAAAAAAATGCATCTTAATTTTGGGTAAGAGAGTTTATTTCGCTTTACAAACATTCATTCTCAACTACAGTATGTATCACCAGCCCGAAACCTAATTAGGCCTAAAGGATTTTGTCTCATAACATTGTATAAAACATTTCCTATGAAATCTGGGGCATCTTTACTCTGGAAACACATTGCTTGCACATGGTGTCGACATGTTATCACTGCTTGACGAAGTACTTTGAAAAATTAATCTGCTCCCAGCTGAGCCAGCTCACAATTCCTTTATAATGCAGAGTACTGTCGTTTTGAATTTCATCCCTACACTCCTCTGCTAACATGGCGTGTTCTAATAAGAGGAAATACACGATGGTTTACGCATCCGAAACACCTGCGCTCTCCACGGTCGAGGCAAGCCAAAGTCAACCGGAGTCTAGGGTAGGGGCATGGGGCACAGGGGCGCTTGCAAGGGGGTCTGATAGTTGTGGGGCGCTGTCATTTTTCTTCGCATTTTATTGCCAACATTTGGGATTTTTCGTGCCTGTTGGTAATTTGCAATAAAAAATTATTGTCGGCTAACTTGAAGCCAAATTTGGTTTAACGCCTCCTCTATTGAGAAATGGTCTAGCATCGCCCCTATGTTTATGTATACGTTGCGGATTAAACACAATATTTCATGAGAAATCCGGTAGAAGTAATAGAGTGATTTAATCTTCCGCTCGGGCAGTATGATCAAGGAGAGATTTTGCGATTGAAGAAAGTGTTAGATCTTCTTATTTTATTCAGAGACTGACAAACTCGTTGGTGCATTCTCTTCCACTTGTGAGGCTTTCATTATTCAGGTATTACCCACAGTTCTTTCATGCGGAATGAAGGAAGGAGGATTAACAAAAGAGAAAGTTGTGGCTTTGAATAATGATACCTTGATGTTGCACTCTTAAAGGTTATAAGGTGTTTCATCTATTTCTTAAATGCCGCAAATCACTTTGGCAACTCTTTATACATTGAGAAAAGGTGAAAAGCGTGATGTTAACCCAGTCACACTTGTGTGTACTTTTGGTGTCATGTGTTATTGAATCTGAACTGCTCAAAATAAATAGCCTTGTCAACATTTATTAGGGAACATCAAAATGTACTAAAAGTATGTTATGTGATAGATAATCTTATAAATAATTGTCATTGTATCAATAATTAACCCCCAAATTCTCTTACGAAAAAAACAACAAACAAACAATAAATAAACAAATAAATCAATAAATAAACAAACAAAATAAACATAAATAATAAAGAGGTCATCAAGATTTCTCGAAATTAGAAAGGTCATCACCGTTGAAATGAAGGGGAACCTTATTGGACTTAAGTACTATAAAATAAACGTATGCAACTTGGATTTCAAAATGGGACAGGGGAGGGCACTGGCTGGTTGAGCCCTCTCTTAAAGGCCGTCTGTACTAGTTTGGCCAGGAGGGATTAGACCACACAGCGTTGTCACTGACAGGTGGCTATCTCATCAACTCAGCTCTCAATTAACATAAGAAAAAGAGGATCATAGGGGACCAATGGTCACCGCTTAGGCATTGTTTTCTATATAGAGGGAGCAAGTAGCTACAAGTAGTACAGTGGGGCTTTAAATCCGCATGTGATTGGCCTTACCTGTCGTATACTCTCCGACACTTCTCGAAAGATATGCCTCTCATCAAACATCTTTCCTCGGTATCGGTACTCGTAGTAATCGAGGATCTTGTTTCGTAGGTGGGACGGTAGCTTGCGATACTGCATGTACTCTTCAACTTGTTTCAACTAAGAAAGAAAGCAGAAAAAGATCGTACAAAAGATAAAGACACGAAATATAAACAGACAATAAGTGCAGCAAGATGTCACTTTAAAACACCACAAGTACCCTTATGTTACTTAAACAACTCTCGGAATTGATGCAGATACGGAGGAAAATATTATGTGAACATTCGCAATATTAAAAAGGTGACTTTGTCCACGTCAATGTGATTGTATAATAATTATGAAACGGGTGTAATTAATATTAAGACTAACATTACCTTTGCCATTTTTATCATAACTGTCTATTTAACAAAATCCTGAAATACTTCTAGCACAGCTACGATATAGATTAATATAGGAACTCCAAAAGTTTGCTCAGATGGGACTGCTGTATTATTAAAATAAACATTCCTCTATTATCGTCTCACTAATTCTCTACCTCAATCTTCATGAAAATTAATAGAATGTGATAATGAAATTAATTCATCGTTCCTTCTCATTTTGGATGAGCCTTTGTTTTTAATTTATTTGATTAATCTCGATCCTCTCACCTTCTCACGGTATTGCCTGCTGGAGGAGTCCATGGACTGGATGAGATTCGTAGCGTGTCCGATGAACAGGGCGAAGCAGGTCGCACCGGACACCATACTGACAATCGTTAGCCAGACATCGGTGATGCTTTGAGGTGGAAACTTGCCGTACCCGATACAGAGCATGTGCGAAAGGGCTTTGAAGAGTGCCCATGTATACTGCTCCCACCAATGAGCGTGCTAAAAAGGATTGAATGATAGTTATTTTGCATTAGTATTGATATTAATATTGACTATCTTCCCTTGTTGATTTATTTTTATTTTTTGTTTTGTTTGTAAGAATGCCTGAAAATCTCATGAATATCAAGCATCTGCTTTACAAACTAATAACTGTCTCTACAACAAATTATAATACGATATTAACAATGTGTAACGGTATTTCTTGAATACTCCGATCTTTATGAGGATACTAATTAATTTATATACTTGTTTACATATAATGTGTGTATATTTATTTCTCTATTTTGTTTTGTTCCTGTTATCTGTTTTTATTGATATTTATTGAATAGCATTGTTACCAAACAGGGCTTTATGGAAGACCACCATAATTGGTGACACCCTATATAAACATCATAAATGAATAAGTAGATAAAGAAATAAATACATGTATTACATTCGTTGTGCGATATGCCTTCAAGCAGAAGGATCAAAACTTAAAGCAACCTAAATTTTCAGGCAGAGTTATTTCGACAATATTCCTCTGGGGTCTTTAGTCATTTCCTGACGGATTCAAGATTGTAGGTATTTACCAAATCCCAATAATGCACCACATTTCGATAATGATGATATAAAGTCGAAAATGTAAATGCAATTTGAATAAAAGTAAAATATGTATAACAAGAGCAATTATAGAAATGACAATAGCATTATACGTAAAATGTAAATATTGATAAAGACATTATCAATAAATCAATAATGATTTGAATGTCTATTCTATGAAGGTACAACACGCAATCATAAGATAGCGAATGTTATTGGTTCTGTGATACAAACGCGTAATATCAAACAAAAATGCTACTGCTGTATTATTACAAAGTAAATATATCAGATTTCAAAGATGAAAGAGGGCTGGAAGACGGAAAGCATTTTCTTAAAACTGTAAACGATCTTTGTAAATGTACAACTTTCACTGAGACATTATATTTCCAACAAAATCAGAGAAAATGCAAGTAAGTTTCAGTATATATATATATATAACCTTGATGCATGTCAGGGTGAGCCTTACATGACTTGTAACTGACTAGAGCGAGGCATTTTGTGTTGTGCTTTTTGTGTTGGTTGTCCTGAGTGTGTTGTACCATGTTCTGTATGCATCCATTTACTTTATTGATATGTTATTATTGTAAATATGTTATGTCGATGAGTTTTATTTTCAATAAAAAAGAAATAGAAAAAGAAAGAAAGAAGGAAATGCTAGTGATAATACCTCAAGGCCATTAATGGCGACCCATGATTGGTCGGGGTATTCTTGCAGCATGGGCACGAGATATTGAAGGCAGCCATTCCAATGACCAATCAGAAGCATCATACACACGAGATTACAGATTCGGATGACGGCATTAGCTACGTTGAAGGCCTATTGGCGGAGTCAAGAAAGAAAATAATGCATATTTATGATGATATACAATATTAAAAAGCTTGGTCCAGTCAGTTGTGTCTAAAATTTAAATTTTTAGCTAGCAACTTCTGGAAGGAAGCATACTAAACATAAAACACTGGGCAGATACTTACGACAAAATAACAATGTTGATTTTATGCAATAAAGTATATAAGTGCTATAGAATCTAAATCGTTGAACGTCATAAAATTCATTACAAAAAATATTCTCGTAAGAAAATGTACTTTGACTAAACTATTAAGTTAAAATATTGATGTCTTTTTCCTAAGAGAATCCAGAATGTGGTATATCTCTATAAGCAGGTTCGACTATATCCAATGGCGTACCGTGGGCTCATTTTATGGGGGTTCACGTGTCGCCTGTACCCCATGCATGTTTCTACGCCACTACTCAATATGATCCTTATACACAGGTGACCTCTGTAACCAGGTATGTCCTTTGACTTCGTACCTGTTCCCATTGACTGACGAACCGCATGAGCCTTGACAGACGCAGGAGTCGAAGAAGACTGAGAAGCTTGGCAAAGCGCAGTATCTTGAGGGCTCGGGACACCTCGAGGAAGTGACGGTTCTGGCCGCCAGCGAGGAGGAAGATGTAGTCCATGGGGATGGAAGACACGAGATCGATGATGAACCATGAACGGAGATAATGATAGGCGATTTGACGGGGGTTGAGGATCACCTGAAAAAATAGAGATGAAAAGAAAAATAAGAGTCAACATAGTTTTAGACTAATTTCTATATAAATAAAGAGGACAACTCATATGTTAGTAACGTACTAACACAAATAAGATATCTTTATGTATAAGTAAAGTCCCTCTGCATGCCATGTATTGCACACGATCTTACCGCATCTGTTATAAAGAAAAACATGTCCTTAAGACTTAATATTTCGTATCATTGTACCTTGTAATATAATAATAATAATAATAATAATAATAATAATAATAATAATAATAAACCGAAACGGAAATTCTTTTTGCCCAATAGATCGTGAGCCCGGCAACCACTGAGCAGCGCCAGATCGACGTTGCTCCATCCCTTTTTGTTGAACGCCAAACAAGGTAGCAACAAGTCCCATCATTTAACGTCTTTTGGTATGACGCGGCCGGGGTTCGAACCCATGACCTCCCGGTTGTGAGGCGGACGCTCTACTGAAGTAGTTCAAGTAGAGTTATTTTATATTATAAAACAACCCATGGATGTTCGATTTATTTCGACTTCATTCGTTCCCTGCTCAGCCAGCTTCGGATTTATGATGCCGATCCCAAAGTTACAGATGAGATCGAGGATAAAGAAGGGCAATAATTTATAAAAAAAAGTAAAAACTGTCAATTATACTTAAATTCATATCAGATTAAACGACTTTCGTTGCAACGGTACGTGGTTTGTTTCGGATTAATTCGTTACCTGCTCGGCCGAATTCGGATACATGATGCCGATCCATAATGTTCAGATGATATGTAAGATATAGCGATAAATCAAATTAAACATAATGTAATATCAAATTAAACTGAACAACCCTGAAGTGTTTGGCTGGTTTCGGATTTCGTATACCTGTTCGGCCGACTTCGGATTCATGATGCCGGTCCCAAAGTTACATATGAGATCCAAGATGATCACTAGTGATCTGCTCGGCCAAATTCGGATTCATGATGCCGATCCAAAATTGTCTGATGATATTAAGTATGTAAGATAATGATAATTCAAATTAAACAGAATCTAACTGAACAACCCTGAGGTGTTCGGCTGGTTTCGGATTTCGTTTACCTGTTCGGCCGACTTCGGATTCATGATGCCGGTCCGAAAGTTGCAGATGAGATCGAGAATGAAGAAGGTATCTGAGAAGCAATTAAAGATGAGCCAACCCGTACTCATGTCCTTGTTGTGGAAGAAAGTAATGACGACGGGTAGGAGGATGACGTTTGCCATGATCAGGCACAGCATCAGTAGATCCCAGTAAAATCTGCAGAAAGTGACAAAGAATTCATTTGATATGGTGACCTTATTGAAATCTTATGAAACATTACCTTTAATTTGAATAAATAGATCCCAGTAGAATATATATAAACGACCGAAAGATGTCATATATAGTTTGTATTTCTGCTTTAATTTGATGTAAAATGATTAAGAGTATAAGTAAAATTTATACTAATATGAATATGTTGTTGATAACGATGATAGTGATGATGATGATAATGATGATGATGATGAAAATGATAATGATGAAAATAATAATTATAATGATAATAATTATAATGATAATAATTATAATGATAATAATATTAATTATAATGATAATAATAATGAAAATAAAAATGATAATGATAATGATTAAAAAAACAATGATAATAATGATAATAATCATAATCAAAAAATGATAACGATGTTGATAATAATAATAGTATTTACATTTAGTGTTTTTTTAAAAAGAAAGTTTAGGCACTGTATATACCTCAGTTATTAGATTCAATGGCTATTCCACATACAGTTTGCACTTTTCACGAAACTGGGGGAACCATCAATATTACACCTCACGAAATATTAAGATAGCCCATGAATAATTAGAACAAATTCCAACAATCATATAAATAGTTTGACGCTTTATATCAGAGATTTGACGTTTCATATTTGCAACCAAATCTTGTTTGCACAAACTGTTCAATTTTATATGTAAATTTCCGTTTAAAAAATGACCTAAAAGCACAGTAGTATGAAAAAATGTAGAACTCATTTCAGATTCTATATTAACCGTATTCTTGTGTTCGAAGGTAGCCGTTGAAATTAAAACGACATTTAAAAGATTTGGGGAAATGGTCATCTCCCCTATTTACAAATTAGGTTTATGGAGCAAACTGTTCATTATTTTATACCTCACATGTAATAATATAGAGAAGCAATAAAGTGAAATGCGTTTTATTGGGGACTGTGGTTCATCGGTGACAGAAGTAATATGTTTGATTCACTGGAGAAATATTAACTCAAACGGTATTCCATGAGATTGGCATATTAAAGGTAAAGACCAGTTTTGGAAACGCCCCCCCCCCCCTCTCAAAAAATGAAATGGCAGCTCTTATTACCAATCATGTGAAAGAAAATATTTTGACTAATACGTGATGATACAAATTTTGCCGGGAAACCGCCTACTAATTGATATATGTGGTAAATTAGTATATATATTTGGACATGAAAGGTATAACGCACGTGTCGTGCATGTGTGCGTAGTCCCATATACATGTACATCTTCCTGTGTACAGTGCTTGTAACTTTACAAAGACTGGGCCAAATTACTTTTCATTTTGATGATCCCAGAACCTTGCAGTACACACCAATATTTATATGCTAGATGATCAACCTTTTCTGATCGATTCCACAACGTTTCTTTCACAATGCAATCGTATGACCTTTATCTGTAATGGTGATCTCAGGTTTTCCAAAGGGGGGGGGGGGGGGTGACTAGACATGAATTTTGCCAGTGTTTTACGTCTCGATGATGTATTTAATGGAAAACTGACAGTCAATGAAATTAAGCATCAAATCACGTTTCGTGGGCCCCATGGATAAAAACCAAACTCTGCTATCATAATAATCAATATCAATAATTTGAAAAATGTCAGTGCTGATTGTAGTCATGATCATGACGATCTTGCTAATAACACAATTTATGAAAGTACTAATGCAATATTTAGTAACTTATTAAGTTGCTCACTCCTAGATGACCAATGCTGCCTGGAAGACCTAGTGGCAGCAAATGAGAAGGCTCTTCAGTGTGCAAGAGCCTGACAGAACATTTGAGGTCAGATGATGAACACGAAAGAAGAAGTCAGATAATCACCATACAATCACACTAAAACTGTTTATGTACAGATTATAATAATATATAATAATAGTATCTTGTTTAAACAGGGTAGCCCATTAGTATTAAAACTGAGGGCCCTGAAATATTATCATTACCCCGGCTTTAGTTGAGCTACCATGAAGAGGCGCTCGAGCAATCAAGGAATGTTGTCCTACCGGGTACCCATTCACCTCATCTGGATGGAGTGTGGCAAATTTAGATTAATATCTTGCCAAAAGACATTGGATTATCACTAATTACCGAGCGATTAATATTCAGGTACGATGTTGCTCGAGCTACATATACGAGCACACCCCTTTAAGTCAGGCGTATAGACGACAGCACCATTACGTCATGACTCCAGACGTATAATATAAACCCTATGCGTGCCTTCCGAATTTGATTGGTAATATAACTCGTTTGCAAAACCACTGAGGCGAATGGTATCAACCCCCTCTTTTTCATCCGTCTCAGTGACTATAAGGGGTGATTAGATGTAAGGATAATGGAGAAATGGTGGGAATCTATTACGGTGTAGAGATAAATGACCAGGTGAGGGATTTAATCTACATGCTTATAATGTCAAGGGCAAGATGGTGGAATAATGAACAATCGCAGTAAGAGTGTAGTCAGCTTATTCTAAAGAGTTGAGGAAATCAGGTGTGTAGAGATTAGAGATGAAGGTGAAGAATTAAGGTAGAAAAATCTGGGGAATAGTATATCATGAAAATAATTGCGGAAGCGCTGTGCAGCGGTAAGTTGGCGAAGGCTCTTGATTGCAATAAGAAGTCCTAGATTGGATCATTATATTACTATACCTTCTTAGTTGGGAAAGGTCTTTTACCATGTTTGTGCCTCTCGACCCACATGACATAATTATAGTGTAGTAAATGGGTATAAGGTATCTGCTTGGGATAATAATAATTTATTGCAGGGTTTTAAAGAAGAACATCAGTATTAATATTGATGTTACTATACCCTGGGTACATTACAAGGCCCTATTGTGATTTTATATGTAAATAACTTCCCTAGCGCTAGCGTATGTCGACAGCAAGAAGGGAGTTCACTCAATGTAACGCCCTTATGGCATTCTGCGGACCATTGGCGTATCATGGGTACAGATAATGAGGGTAACCGATTTCGGGGCGCGGGGGGGGGGGGGGGGGCTACATATGTGAATTAAATTTAAGAGAACAAGGCCACTGAATGAGGTACGTGCGTGAAAGTGGGTCGTATCTTTATTTCATATTGCCACCTCTAACCCATATCTATTTCCATCTATTCCAATCTTCTTTTCATTTATCCGGCACTAGATGCCAAAGGGACGCATGACCCCCTTTGGCTATAGGCCCTGGTTCAGACAATAAAATTCTGTGCCCTTTAGATAGCTGGAGTACTATCATTATCATCACTGAAATTTCGATTTATATGAATATCAAAAGAATAAAGGTTACATACCCTTTTCATGAATTGCATCATTTCTACTGAGGCCTATAATTCCCTTTTTCAAATCAATGTGTTATAATCATTTGTTCAGAATAATTCGACACAAGTTTCGAGATATCAATCATGGTAATAACAAGCAGTCATATACTTCTTGGTAATCGAAATAAAGACACTACTAACAAGAAGAAGCATTACTTCCACCCAGTAACTTTTGTGGCACCCATGGCTACTGGTATGACGTCCACAGTAGGCTTGTAATGGTCAATATTAAAGTCAGTCAAGGAGATAGAAGAAAGGAATTACAGAGTCTTTCCTTTCCGCAGGAATGTATACAACGTGTCTAGAAATCAATGTATCACTCTTATAATTAATCAAAGTACTGTAAAGCTATCGCTATGCGGCTATGAAAGAAATCTCATCGATTTTTGCCATTAACCGAGATCGTCTTCAGCTGCGCATGTAATACAAAGGCATGAGAATGGCGTCTATCGCTTAAAGGGTGGCTACGACTCGGCTCAACATCTTTTCAAGTTCAAGTTCAAGTTCAAGTTCGTTTATTTACACTCATCATTAAAAAAAATACAAGAACATATACAATTAAATGAGGAATAATCACACATAAAATATCATACATTCAACAACAACAAAATAACATAACATAATGGGAGTGAAGGGATGAGCTAAAAAGGAGTGTGGTCCTTATGCTAGAGCCCATCCCTCAGTATAATGTAAATAAAAGGTAAATTAATTGTTGTACGATTGGAAGCATGACAAAAAGGGGGGGTAAAGAGCCTGGTGAGTTATAGCACGTAGGATTCAATTAAATACATTTTATATTTTCGTTTAAAAGTTTGAAGACTTCTGCAATTTCTTATATTTATTGGAATGGAATTCCAAATTTTTGGACCATCGAAAGATATTGACTTTTTCATCAAAGTTGTTTTAATTTGAGGTAAGTGGAAATTAGATGCATTTCTAGTTTCATAATCATGAAAGGTCGAATTCAAATTAAAATACTTTAGAAGTGCACATGGTAAGGATTCATTTCGACACAAGTACATAAAGACTGCAATATGATATTCACAGATATCAAATACATTGAGAAGCTTTAATTTATAAAATATAGGTTTCGAATGAGCTCTGTAGTGTGAATTTGAAATTATTCGGATGGCTTTCTTTTGCATTTTGAGTATCCTATTCAGATTGGTTTGGCTTGTCATGGCCCATACTTCAGAACAGTAATATAAATGAGGAAGAATTAAAGTATTATATAACATTCTTAAAACACATTTTGGTAGAAATCTAAGTTTGTTTAGAATGCCAGTATTTTTTGAGATCTTGTTGCAGACAGCACCAGTGTGTTCATTCCATGTAAGTTTAGAATCAATTTCTATTCCGAGGAATTTGTTTACAGATACACGTTTGAATTCATGATTATTCACCTGAAGATCAACCTCATTAAAATCTATTTTTTGTTTTGTAAATACCATGTAGTTAGTTTTATTAACATTCAAAATTAATTTATTCAAAGAAAGCCAATGTAATAGCTTGTTTATTTCATTACCAAAGTCCTGTTGTAAACTTTGAATATTTTTATGGGACATAAACACACTGGTGTCGTCTGCAAATAAGATATATTTTAATTTGTCCGATATATTACACATGTCATTAATAGAAAGAAT